GAGCACATTCTAAGTTTTCCCACAATAAAATTGGATATTATTCTCGCTTGAATAGCATCGCGATAACGGCAACGCGTGGTCTGGGTGGGCCGCTGAAATTACCAGCGAATATTTACTTGTTACTCGATAATAATAATATAATTAAGTTTATCTACCTTAATTATACACCCTTTTAATTTAATTAAACAATGCATGCAAATGTAATCAGTATTCGATTGATGTTCACGAAACTTTCAGCGTTATTTAGCTCCCTGACTGTTCGCATGACTATTGTTTGTGATAATTATTTAGAGACTAGTGGCTCGCCTCAGCTTCGTCTGAGTTTGAAAAGTATCTTAGAAATTGTTATAATATTACCAGTATAAGTATTATTTCTGGAAAATAGCAACAATAACATCTAGAATCTAGATAAAACCGCATAGTGTTTAGTTTACCGTGCCGGATAATCACTAAAATCAAGCTCATTTCCCCCTCTCTATTACATAATAGTTAAGTAAAGAAATTAAAAGCTGTTTTAAGTAGTTATAGAGCAGAGATAACGTGCAGTGCTCTCAAGAAAACAGAAATAGACGTTTGGTAAGTATTTCAGAATATCGGTGGCCATACAATGGGAGGGTTCTTCACTCACCCTCCGTCGGCTTGATGATAGATTAAAGCATTGTGCTCGTGAAATGCACACCGCTCGTTTCTACAGAGCACTTTCTTTCTATTTCACACAAAGGTGTCCTATTGATTTTCGTGGTATTTATTAGAACAATAATTTGCGGCGAAATGGACTGTTAGCTCGTCTATTATGAATTGTTAAAGAAATATGGCTTCTGTCTGGTAGATAGTAGACAGATGTTTCAAATAGCGAGAAGTATTAAAAGAAGTAATTAATATAATGTGACCTTTTCAGAGCCCACAATAAAGTAGAGCTAGAGATTCTCTAAAATTTATTTTTAGAAATAAGTAGACTAGAGTGGTTTTTATTAATAGAAATCGCAATCAATCATACTTCAATAAATGTAGAGGTTTTGCTACCTAATAGAGTTAGTTGTATGTACTTACATAAGCTAAGCTCTACAGTAATTTTATAGCCGTTTGTGTTGTTATGTATGTTTGGTAATAATTTAAATAACATTACCAAGGTTCAAGTATTGTTACTTGACTGTATTTCAGTGGGTTGAGAACTTGAGATAACACAATAATGTCAAAGGCCTGCTACCTGTTTTCGCGGAAGTGAACCGAAATGACACAACATGAACAAATTTTCCATTGTAACCTTGAGGGTCCTTCATGTTGATAAGACATTACTCATTCTGAAATGATCCGCCTACGCCATTGGTGTTAATCAGACGTTAGAGCAAGGATTTTAAATCGCTTTAAGTATTTAATAGTGCTAAAGTAGGACTCTACATTTAAAAAACTATAAATCAACTATAATTTTCAATACAAATTGTCAGAAAGCCATTTTGGTTAGGTTGTAAGTAGGTATTATTACGCCCGTATTCACAAACTATGCTTGCTTAAGTGAAGCAGCAAATCAAACGCACCGCGTTGAATAGAGCTCTGTGATTGGTTAGTTTGTCACCCTGTGCGTTCGCGCACACTGTAAGACCTCACAGTAATGTTTGTGAATACGGGACGGGCGTAATGTACGGACGACAGTGCACATCAACCTAAACACAGTGGCGTCTATCTCGTTGTAATGTAATACAGTATACAGGTTATTTTGAAACAAAAATGTATAGGTTGATGTGCTGTCGACTGTACCTATGCGTGTTCAGTGCACACAATTCGTCAAACCCCGATTACACGATGTTTTATTTTTGGTTAGGAACCTTGAACGATTGTAGTTGAACAATCTTAAGACTTCCATTTTCTATAGCCATTGAAACGTGACTCTGTACAGGGAGTCTTATTATTTTGTTAAATTAAGGTGTGAATTGAATTGATCTTAAAATAATCAAGAGCGGCAGCTGCATACTTTCATAATGTGCTAGTAAAGAATCACTAATTCTCAGTAGTATAATTTTGTGAATTACGAACGTAATTTATTTATTGTTCCTANCTAAACATCTAACCGACTTGCACATAATCTACCTGCCTTTTATGACTCGATCTATGATTTGATTAGTCTCAGGAGTCTTGAGACATAATAATTTATCAGAGGATATTTTTATCCACCTCGCCCACGGGCAATCCGTCATTCTGTACTAGTCACACGGGCTTATTACAGAAGCCGCGATAAAAATAGCCATGGAAAAAATATCCCTTACTATTCCGAGTCAATGAAATCTACACAATTATCAGCCGGCGTTTATGCAGATAAGGAAAGCACGAATTAGCCGTGCGCCACAACATGACAACAAATAACTTTGGAGGTTACAACATTGAAACAGAATGTAGGTAAACAAAACGATTGTGATGAGCGGGGCAAGGAGACATCGGCTCGGGCGCCCGGTCAAGGTATCCGGGGCAAAGGTCGATGACAGCGCGCTCGCCTCTCGCGATATGTTTGCCGCCAAAATCTACGCAAATCTACATTCGCAATTTACACATAACATTAGTTAAAATTACATTACGTTAACAAATCATCCTGACCTGATGACATTGACTCGTTCTCCGATTTAGGCGTCGTGGGTGGCATCGGTAAGGGCATCGAAGGCAGGGGTTGTGTAGGCGGCTGCTGTTGCATAGTGCAAGCGTTGCCCAGCAACGACTGAGCCGTGTTGTACGAGATGCCATCTTCGTAAGCCCATAGCTCGAGATTCGAGTACTCGGGCGACGCCAGCGATTCCGGTGACATAACCATCGCCGGTGGAAGACCGAGGGCAGAGGACGATGTCACTTCGGACGAGCTCTCCTCCAGCATACGAAGCGTCTGGAAGCCTCCGTTGTTCGACCAGCGGCGTCTCATGACGGCGAGCGTGTCATACGCTCCGGAATCCACAATCGCCGACGGACATCCTCCGACGTAGGCTTTCACTTCACTTTTTCCCCGCACTAAACTATCTAAACGCGACTCTATAGACGTACACCATTCGTCTATGCCGCTTTGGAACCGAGGCGAATCCACTGTCTTGATTTTATTGCACTCCAATAAGACGAGACGGTTTGATAGTGCAGCGATAACTTTTTCTAGTCACAACACAATCCACGCAACAGGTGAGAAGAGCACGCGAGTCCCACGAGTCGAGTTCGTCCGGCGTTTGAGGAACAGTGAGGTTACTGCGGTGAGCCGTAAAAAGTGGCACGTTGCGCGCGCGCGACCGTCGTCAACGGAATACGTAGAGCGAGCGAACGAGGAGCGAGCGACGCGGCCGCTCTCACTACTCACTGCCACGGTCGAGCGTGACGTCACGCGGCGCCCCGCGCGCCGCAGCCCCCGCTCCCCGCGGGGCGCGCAGCCGTGGCACAGAAAGTCAACTCACCGCGGCGACAGAATGTAGCGCGCCGATAAAACACCCTCGATTTATGAAGCAACTCGTTCTATCAAAACAACTCTCCGCTGTTCGTTACGCAACTTTTGAACTTGAAAAGAGAATTATAAAGTTATACAATTCGTTTTTCCTTAATAATCAACAGGATTAAGTCCTATGTTTGTGACATCAAGAAGTAAACTTTTAGGGAGTAGGCAATTTTAGTTATTCACGTATAAGTAGGAGGCAAAGTTACCTTATTAAACCTATAATACGAAATTGTTTCAATTACGTAGGTACATTAAAACAAAACGGCTAAACAGAATTTTAAGATTGTATGGTCAACTTCTGCTTCGATCAAGATGAGCCAGCCGCACCGCCACCAATGGCCAGAAATTAGTTAATGTTCCAGACTTTCAGATACCTACCTACCTACACGTCTGTGGATCCGATTGCAATGGGAGGAGGGAGAGAAGTAGGTATAGTAATAATACCTAGTAGGCCTATCATCTACCTACCTACTTACGTATTATTCAAAAATTTGCAACAGAAGAAAACTAATCAACTCTATCAGTCGGTGACAAGCGTTTATCTTACTTAGGTAACTAAAGATGACTCAATTACCTACTTACTGACACAATAACACGAATACGCGATAGTCTTCTAAAATATCAAATAACTCGACGACCTAAATTAGGCCTAAGTTATCCGACTCTTTCATTTCAGCAAAACTCCGAAGGTGTGTCGACTGCTTTATCTGCTTTCCTAAACAGAACGACGCCGATGCAATCGATATGTTTGCGATACACGTCGACGGTTGATTGTATGGTTAATTTGGCACTGGTTGCGCAAACAGAGATGTATTTCTAAAGAAAAAAAGAGTAATTTTACGGTTAGATAAGATTAGAAATAGTGATGATGGCGTCCGCCATGATTGCCGAGTTCACGTCATCGGATCACGTGTTCGCGCGGTGCGTTGACCTCAGTGTTTTGGAAATACATCACTACTTTAGTTCGCCATCTCCGTGCTCACAGAGAATCAGTCATGCAATAATTAGATGGGCAGAAAAACTATTCATTCTGAGAAAATAGCATTCAGGAATTGCAAATGACTATGAAAAATACAAGTAGGTAGGTACCTACCTATGTAACGTAAATATCGTCACCGTCGTGGCAGAATTAAATAACTGACAAAACCAAAGTTGCGAGATATTCACGTTTTTGTGATTTTTTTCGTTAAAAATGGTGATAACTTTTAAGGGTAAAAATATTTTACTGTCGGTCTTTTGATATTTTATACAGCAAATTTACCTTTATTAAATCAATATTCTTCGATGACGTTATTTTGTATTATTTTAAATTAAAAAAATAAAAATGTAATTATTTAGTTTTGCCACAACCGTATTTTACAACTAAGTTGCAGTTATTTAGTTTTTGCAAAAACGAATATTTCCATTGAATAAGTACACTTGTTTAATTTTGCCACACTTTTATTGACCTAAATGTTGATTTATTCATTTTATTTTATTTGTTTTGTTAATGCGATTTTAGTCAAAATCTGTAAAATTGTTAAATAATACTAGAATTTANCGGATGTTCGGGTTCCAAAACTGACAGTTAGGCACTCACCAGACCGAGGTGGGCATGCCATGATACTGGCAGAAGTCAAGATTAAAGTGAACATACCAAGTCCTAGATGGGTGACATATAGACCGTTTAAGAACATTCTGCTTGAACGGCTGAATTCGGATCTCAGTGCCATTCAGTGGAACAATTTTAGGAAAATTAATGAGGTTAATCATCTGGTACAGGCATTCACATCATGCACTGTCGGATTGATGGATTTACATGCCCCAATAACTACCAAAAAGTTTAAACATCCTCCCCACCCGTGGATAACAGACACTGTCAGAACAATGATGCGTATTAGGGATAATTATCACAATAGATATAAAAAACTCAAAACGTCAAATTTGAAAGAATGTTACGGAAGAATGAGACGAGTAGTACTTGAGGCGATGGAAAGGGAGAAAAAATGTTACTTTGAAAAATATATAAATAATAACATAGGTAACTCAAAGAAACTGTGGAAGAATCTCAAAAATACGGTGCTTCCAAATAATGAGAGGACTAATGAGCTGCCACCAGAGTTTAATGAACCTAATGTTATAAATCAGCACTTTCTACACATACCAGGCTCAAATGAAGTATCGATTTCTACATTATCTTTTTATGAGCATAATAGGTATAATCCCAAGGCTGTTTTTTCTCTCCAAACTGTAACTAGCAGGGAGGTGCTGGAGGTTGTTGGGGGGCTGAGGTCGAACGCACAGGGAAACGATGGCCTGGCACTGGATGCTTTGCTTCTCACCTTGCCGCACTCACTCGAGGCCTTGACAACTATTATTAATTGCTCACTACAGCAAGGAACGTTTCCCGAGGACTGGAAAGTGGCAGCGGTGACGCCATTGCCTAAGACCAACCAGCCGGCATCGGTGCAGGATCTTCGACCTGTTAGTATCCTTCCATGCCTTTCCAAGGTCTTGGAGAGAATAGTATGCAAGCAGCTAACCACATACTTGGAGAAGTACAACATATTACCAGGTTCACAATCAGGTTTCCGCAGGGGACACAGCACGGCGACCGCTTTGGCGGACGTTGTGGATAGCCTTCTTGCGGGTCAAGATCAGGGGATGGTGTCAGCATTAGTGCTTCTTGATTTTTCTCGGGCTTTCGACTCAATCAACACATCGTTGTTGCTGTCGAAACTCAGCTACTACGGTCTTGATCACCTCACTGTAAAATGGTTCCATAGTTATCTGAGCGGACGGAGTCAATATGTCGAACTGAGGCTGAGCAATGGAAAAAAAGTTCGTTCACGCTCTCTGCCGGTAAGTCGCGGGGTCCCACAAGGTTCGATCTTGGGGCCAATTCTTTACATCTTGTACAGTGCTGATATTGTAAAACATATTGCGCACTGTCGCTATCACTTGTATGCAGATGACTTGCAGCTATACCTTTCATTCGCTCCTTCTGACCAGTGCGAAGCTATGGCTATGCTAAACAAGGATTTACTTAGCATTTCGGCCTGGTGCTTTGAAAACTGCCTCACCTTAAATCCCAAAAAGTCCAAGCTTATGCTAATAGGGACTCCAAAAAACACTGCTAAGATTGACAGCTTCACTGTCAAACTAAATGGGGAGCCCATAATGTTGGTTGAAGAAGCCAGGAACTTGGGACTGGTGTTTGACAGCCATCTCAGGTTTGAAAAACATGTGACTGAATGTGCAAGAAATTGTTTTTATAGGTTGAAGCTCCTATACAGAATAAGACCTTATTTGAGTGAAAAGCTTAGGATAACTCTTTGTGAGGCCCTTGTATTGTCTAAGCTAAACTATTGTGACACAGTTTATGGGCCCTGTCTGTTAGCAAGTTCAGCGAAGTTGTTGCAGCGGGTTCAAAATGCATGTGCTCGCTTCTGCTTCCATGTTCCGCCACGGTCTCATGTTACGCCATTCCTCAATGCAGCCAATCAGATGAAGATGGAGGCCCGTAGAAAGTTGCACTTGGCGACAATGTTGTTCGGCGTCATTAATACAGGACGGCCGCAATATCTCTTAGACAAGCTAGTCCGTGCACCTTGTCGCAGTGAGCATAAGAGAAGGGTGATTACTCACGTCTTCCTCACACCGAGACATCGTACAGCGGCATTTCGAGGATCGTTTAGATTTGCAGCGTCTCGATGCTGGAACGATTTGCCCCCACCATTGCGTGCACTGAAAGTGAGACACACCTTTAAAATACAGTTGAAGAAGCATTTATTAGATTTACAAAATGAAATCTACTGATTTGCATACCATCGGAGCACGCACGTCGTTCGTTGGGCTTTGGCGTCGTTCCGGCTTTGAGAACGCTGCTCTTCTTAGTTCCCTTTTACCATATGCCCTTAGTCGTTCCGATGCTCTCGTTGGGTGGTTGAATGAGATCCCAATTAAATGTATTTAGGTCTCCCCTACTGAACACCCTGAAAATATGTTATTTATGTGAGTAATTGTTTAATTAGACACGAGGGATTATTCGTCAAGTTCTTAGGTCAAGGTTAGAAAAGTCCACTCACCTATCATGTTCATCAATTTTCGGCACCTGATTGACATTTTTATTTATTTTAACCACAATATTATAATTTCTACTCAATGGAATTTAATCACAATTTATAAAAGTTAAGTTAATAACTATGTAGGTACATTATTGCTAAAACCGATTGTTAATTATTTTTGTTACGTGGCTGGTGGACGTGGCAAATGTCAAGTCAACTTGACAAGTGATACTTTTTTTTTAATGTGTTTTTTTTTTTTCTCTTCTGTCTCTGCCTCGACTTTTATGGCCGTGCAGTAGAAATGGTTTTTGTTTGTTTTTGACATGTCTTTGTATGTTTATTAATATTGTTATTTATGTTTTAATTTAATTAATTATGCATCTTGTTATTATTTAATTTTAATTTTTTTATAATTGATTAATTTATTGAATGCTTAATTTATGGTTTTTATTATTATTTTTTTACTCTTTTTTCTGTTTTTGATATATAGCGCTGCAAAAAGGCACCCACTGAAAATCAGTGTCTTGGCAGTCACACTGTCAAGATATTACTGAGTGGGTGACCTTTTTTGGCAACTTAGTAATATTTTTTTTTTTATGTAATGTCTTTATTGCCTGAATCTGTGGTTGTCAAAATAAAATTATTTTCTTTCTTTCTTTCTTTCTTTCAAGGTAACCCGCGTCCCTAGACGACGCGCCATCTATGTACAGGTATGTGCTGGCCGCTTAAAATATTTTTATTTTAAATGCAATGTACCTAATATCCGGTTACAGAATTTATTGTACCGAGATAACTATTCGATACCCGATTCGAACCCAGATGATTTTTTTCATAATCATCATAACCATGCGAGTAAACATAATTAATTATACATAACAAATAATTATACACGTCNTGTAAAACATTTCCTTGCAAACAGATGACAATCTCCATAGTTGGCGGTGTCGGTGGCAGTTGCGCAAACGCATCATAGGTAAGTGGCGGCACACTCGCGCCGAGTGGCGCGCGCGTGGCGAGACGTATCATTTGCTTGTTATGGTGTAAGTATGATGGGGTTAGGCTTAGTTTACCCGGTAATTTGTAAAAATACCCTCCTCATATACCTAACTTTTTCTTGAGTCTCTCTGACCTCTCATTCACATTTTGTCACCTGTCATCCGCTTTGCAATGGAGGGAAGTCGAATCTTAATTTCAAACTCCTCCTATGTTCTTCTGATTAATTTCGTTGCGGGTCCAATGAGAGTTTAACTTTCCCCGGGACAAACTTGACCTTCATTGGTTGGGTTTTTATGGCAGTCAAGCTGTAGATCCTGGCTACACTACACAGGAGTTGCAGTGGTGGGAACGAGAGGTGGGATTAGTCCCGTGACCTCTCATTCAGGTCCTATTTTATATAGAGCAGGGCTCGATCTCCTCTTAGGAAAAATGTTCGCTACTTCAACTGAATAATTTGAAATGACTGAATATGTTTTATAAGATTTTATAATATTTGAAACTTTCGCGTTCCATTCCTATTAAAGTTGAATAATGTTTTATTGAAAAGTGATTAACTGATAATTTTATAAATACCTAAACAAACATACATTAATATTATTAATTATGCAATACTAATGAATAACAAAAATGCTCGTTATTTTTTTTGTATTTATTATTTTAGGAGAGTTCCCACGGGATGATTATGAATCAAAAACTTCAGTATCATAACCTCATGACCACTTGAAAATCATAAAAAGTGTCATTACAATAATAATCCCTATTAAAATCGCTAGTTCACACGCCGTAGCGAATTAACCCTAAACAGCGCGGTGCTTTAACTACACTGTAATTGTTGATATTGTTAACATTATCCCACTTCAACGAAACCGTGTCACTTTTGACACAAAAAATGGCTAAGTGCCATTTTAAGCATGGATTTGCAAATAAAATAGATAACTAATTGTGTCGCAAAAATTCTCACGTGTTAAAAATGATACTATGAATTATTTAAAGGGGTACTTATGGTTATCCAATGTATTTTTAACCGACTTCAATAAAAGGAGGTGGTTCTCAATTCGGTTGGTATATATTTTTTTTTATAATTCGAGAGTTTTATAGACAAGTCTAAAAGTCTAAATATTAATGTTCACACGGCTTATTATTCAATACATTTTTCCAATCAAAAATGTGTTTTGAATTTCAGTTTAATTTTTAATTGTCTAATTCTATTTTTACCCACAATAAAGAAGCCTGCACCTCACCTGATGAAAAGTGATGTGAAGTGAAGTAATAAATGAAGCACTTCAATCAAATTAGTAACGTCCATATTGTCTTTTGATCTATTGGGTGTGTGTAATAAAAATAGCAAAAAAAATAACAGAGGCTGTCTGAATCAATTTCGTCAAAACTATTTGGTTTTTGCCACATTATGTAAATAATTTNTCGACCCCTAAACCAGATTTTAAGATTGCATGGTCAACTTCTGCTTCGATCAAGATGAGCCAGCCACCGCCACCAATGGCCAAAAATTTGTTAATGTTCCAGACTTTTAGATTAACACGTCTGTGGATCTGATTGCAATGGGAGGAGTAGGTATGGTAATAATACCTAGTAGGCCTTATCATCTACCTAACTACTTACCTATTATTCGAAAATTTGCAACAGAAGAAAACTAACCAACTCTATCAGTCGGTGACAAGCGTTTATCTTACTTAGGTAACTAAAGATGATGACTCAATTAGGTGCCTACTTACGGTACTGCTGACACAATAACACGAATTCGCGATAGTCTTCTAAAATATCAAATAGCTCGACGACCTAAATTAGGCCTAAGTTATCCGACTCTTTCATTTCAGCAAAACTCCGAAGGTGTGTCGACTGCTTTATCTGCTTTCCTAAACAGAACGACGCCGATGCAATCGATATGTTCGCGATACACGTCGACGGTTGATTGTATGGTTAATTTGGCACTGGTTGCGCAAGCAGAGATGTATTTCTAAAGAAAAAAAGAGTAATTTTAGGGTTAGATAAGATTAGAAATAGTGATGGCGTCCGCCATGATTGCCGAGTTCACGTCATCGGATCACGTGTTCGCGCGGTGCGTTGACCTCAGTGTTTTGGAAATACATCACTACTTTAGTTCGCCATCTCCGTGCTCACAGAGAATCAGTCATGCAATAATTAGATGGGCAGAAAAACTATTCATTCTGAGAAAATAGCATTCAGGAATTGCAAATGACTATGAAAAATACAAGTAGGTACCTACCTATGTAACGTAAATATGTAAATGGAAGGTTAACAATGGTTCCGAAGGCAATTGATAAAACTGCAAAATATTAATCACTAATCAGACAAAAATTATATAAACCTACCAAGGCGCAAGGTAGTAAATATTTCACACATGACGTGTATTTAATTTATTTTCGGCGATGTGTAACTCTAATACTTACCTACCTACTAAGTATGTACTTTTTATCTATCTACTCGTAGGTAGGTAGGTACGTCAATGAATCTTATCTAGAAATCATTTATTGCACTCTACATACCTACAATTTGTAAAAAAAATAATGTAGGTAGGTAGGTAAAGTACATTAGCTCTACATTTTGCTCATATTTCTATCTAACGCTGCTATTGCTGTAGTAAAATAATGACTAAAATACGATTATTCCTAAAAATGATTAGTTAGATGGGTAAAAATGATTAGGTAATAGGTAGGGTAGTAGGGGGAACCTATCTTCCGGTATGACAATTTCCATTGTGATTAAGGCAAAAGGGGTTGGATTGGAAATAAAACGAAATCCAATGTAGCTTGAAATCGCAATCCATTTAGTGGTCATTCGATACAAAACATTTCGTAATGATTCTCTTCAAGTAATGGTACACCTACAGTCAAAAGTGGATGACACTTTGCAACAAATTAAACAAAGTCAATAAAGTAGAGAATAGATGAAACAGTTAATTGGGAATTATTATTCAGTAGCACATTAGCTCCATAATAGATTAAAAGTGCACAGCAAAGATAAGTAATATTAAAGTCATCCTGATACGTAATGAAAATTAAATTATTAAACCGCTTATAATGTAATTCGTCTTTATGGGAAGGTAACTAGATTAGCCGTGGATGAAAAATACCGACAATAAACAAACGATCTTAGTCACACTGGTCTAAGAATTTTAGAAAGACTCTCTTGAAACTTCTTGTAGTAGTAGGTACCTACATTACATAAGTTACCCCGCGCATTAGATAATTAATTACTTCAAAGTCCAGCTTCAAGAAGAGAAATACAATTTGCAGAGCACTGCTGTCGCCACCTGTACCGCAAATTGTCCAGTCGTGAGGTTGGTCAGTCGTGCGTGCAGTAAACTGCTCGATTGGTTCCCGTGCCCCCCTCCCCTTGTCCTTAGCCGAATTGCCTCCGGAGTCCGGAGTGCTTCGCGTCTATTACTCCATTTATTTAGATGATCTTTTCAACACAGTATCTCCAATTATACCAATTGGATTAAACTCCATTCAGTTTCCATCAGCATAATGGACATTAGAGGCAAGTGAATACAGATTTACCACAATCATTGGTTGGGTACTCAATAATGCTGATAAGTATTGTTAAACAGTAATAAGTATATTCGCCAATTTAGTTAGGTAGAGACTAGAGATCAAAAGAGAAGAGAGGGAGAGAGAGTAAACACTAAAACAGGCATCTTGTAAGTTCGCTTCACCATAAATCGCATCTACTCTCACTGCTGCTGGGTATCCTTCCGTTGGCCAAATTACTTTTCGCCAAATTTCACTTCGCAAACAACTTATCGCCAAAGTTTCATTTCACAAATAAACTTTTAGCAACTGTACTTTTCGCAACTAATTCATTTAGTCAAATTAACATTTGGCCAAATTTTACTTGGCAAATGTTTATATAGCAAATGTTTTATTTTGCCAAATATTATATCCCAAATAATTTGCTTGGTCAAATTGACACTTCACATACTTACGAGTACCCACCGTTACCCACAAATCAAAGCATAAGGCACATGGTCATGGTTTTCACAATAATTTTATGTAAAACAGAGAGATTGCAGAAAATAGTATGGTTGCAAAAAGTAGGTATTGTAGAAAATAGTAGGTTAGGTTAGGTTAGAACAGTGACCCTTAATGCGCGAAGGCGAGCGAAGCGTGCCGCGGCAGCGGCCGCCGAGCGCTAGAATCATCTCTATTGTTAATGAATCATTTGGAAATTTCGATAAAAAGAATGAAATATGAAAATTTATTTAGAAAAAAAATTATATTAACTACCCACTAAACAAAATAATAACCACAAGCTAATTTGTATTCCATTCTATGCACCAATCAAATTGTTTTGTAAATAGTTTATCGTGAAATATTTTTGCCAA